TTCGCTCTTTCTCACCATATCCGACTCAGGGCTAATGCGAGATGCATTTGTTTGTCTCGTTTTGCGTTTTGGCCCCAGGCACACAAGCCAATGTGTTTTGGTGCAGAAACCCAGCTGGTACATGTATCCAATTAGAAAGTGTACATAAAATGTGGAAAAAGAAAAAAAAATGTCATTTTTTTTTAATTGTTTTGAAATTTACGGGGAATTTCTGTCATCTGTCTTCTATTATTTGTATTTGTTTGTCAATGATGTGCTACGTGTGTTCCTGCCTGCTTTATGAAGATTAACGTCTGTGTTTCGCAATTCTCCTGCGTTCTCCGCTTTCCTTGTTCCTTACTCTGTGCTCCTCACAGTACACTCTAAAAAACGCTGGGTTAAATACAACCCAGTGCTGGGTAAAATAGGGACAAACCCAGCAATTGGGTAGAGTGTAGCATACCGTGACAGAATAGCAGACCGAAACAATAAGCAAGCGGCGCCCCTTCTCCCCGTGTTATTGTTTTCGTTTTAAAAGTCTTTTAGTTTTCCCTTCTGTTCGTCCCGCGGCATGGAGATAGCCGCTCGCTTCTCAGCCCTAGCCCGCAGAGATCTCTCCTTTGTGGAATATGCGTGGGAGTTCTGCGAGATCGCCGTGAAAACGGTTCTGGATGGACCTCCCAGACACCACTGGACTAAGCTGGAGGGAAGGGATCCTCCAGTGTCTGGAGAGTGTCCGGCCCCGATCCAGAACCAGCTTGCCGTCAAGCCTGCCGGCTGCCGCTGACTCAGCGCTCTTGGACATGGCGCTACCTCTAGAGTTCTCGGCTCCTATCCTCACCCCAGAATCTGCTCCAGAAAGTCCTCCTTCGTCCTCCAGAATTCCTCATTTTCCCCAAGAAAATTGGGGGGGGGCATATGCCCGTGGCCGTGGTGGCCGAGCCGGCTAAGGTCACAGAGGATCCGCCATGGCCTCCTGGACTGCCTGATTCGCCATGGCCTCCTAAGTCCCCTGCTCCGCCATGGCAATCTGAACTGTCTGCTCCGCCATGGCTCCCTGATCCGCCCTGGAGGCCTTCCCGTGTCCCTGTCCTGTACCAGCCTCCAGGGCGCCCACCCCCCCTCCCCAGTGGTATTGTCACGGCGCGGGACGCGCCTTCCGGGAGGGGGGGGTAATGTCATGTTTATGGTCGGTTTTGTTTTTGTTTTCTGTGTTTCCATTATTCCTGCCTAGTTAGTTTCCATGGTTTTTGATTAATTAGCTCCACACCTGTTTCTGTTCTCCCTAATTGCATTCCACGTGTTTATAAGCCCTGTCTGTTCTTAGTTCTTGTTCCTTAGTTCTCTGTCTGCTATTATTTGTATTTGTTCGTCAATGATGTGCTACATGTGTTCCTGCCTGCTTTATGAAGATTAAAGTCTGTGTATCGCAATTCTCCTGCGTTCTCCACTTTCCTTGTTCCTCGCTCCGTGCTCCTCACAGTAGCATACCGTGACAATTTCTGCCACCATTTTTTTTTATTGTATATACAGGGAATTGTATTCTTTACACAGATTGATCCCTGCTTTACATTTTGTAGCTTTATAACATATCAAAGGTCATTTTCTTACTCAGCACAAATATCTAAACATTCTTAAATCAAGAAAGATTTACTTGAGATGCAAAACCACATATCAAGTGTTGATTTCTGAGGAATGAGTCAAAATTGATGTATCAAATGTGAGGCTTATGCTTAAAACAAGAAAATCTATATCTGCCATTGTAGTAAGAAAAAAAAATTAAGTGAAAGCAAATTTATTTTTCTTACTCCATTCGTAGATTTTTTTTTTCTTGGTTTAATAATAAACAAGTCATACTTTTAGATTAGGGAACACATTCACTGTTAACGAAATGCCGAATAAGGCATTCATATGTGCTTTACAAATAAACAGTACAAATAAACAGCCAATATGCTACTAATATGCATGCTAATAAGCAACTAGTTAACAGTGAATTAGTGAATAGAAAACTGTTTGAGTTTAGAATAATGACAGAATTTTCATAAAATACAAAGCTTTTTGCCATAGCTTTTTTCACTCAAACAAGCCAATTATATTTCACTTGCAACTGCAATCACTCTAACATTTGTTAGTGCTCATTAATGTGTTGCCCCTTTATGAATTACTTTGTTGATAACCCACTTCTCTGTGGAATGAAGATTTATTGTTACTGGAGGGCAGGAGGGAATGGTAATAAATGGCTGTTCAGGCTCTTCCTCTAGAGCTTTTACATCCATCTTCTAGCTGAGCATCTGCCCTGCGTCGGGGCTCCATTAGCTCGATAGTTTAGCGAGGGTCAGGATTGCTTCTGCAATGGAATGGGCCTGACAGGCAGGAATTTGACCCGGACACTCATAATCTCATAAACAAGTGTGAATCTGGACTGTTTTTGTGTCACTGGGTAATCTGTGACAAAATACGATGTCCAAGCGATGATTTAGAGGAAATGAGCTGAAATCCATTTGATTGGGTTTTATGTTGCCGGATAATTGTCATGAAATTTTCATAAATTGCAGCTTCTCCATTAGCATGATGTCTGAGTGCGCAATCACATTTAGAGGATGTTAAACCATGAAAATTAAATCAGGCAAAGAGGAATTTCCCAAACATTTACTATCAGTTTATTTTAAACAACAACTGTACAAAATACAAATACAAAACATGTTTTAATACAGCAAGAAAGTTAATTTAAACACTAATAATGAGCAAATGTTACCACCACCACTTTTTTTTACTTACATCACAAGAGCTGTACATTTCATCCACTAAAATGTTCACTGATTATAAGGAAAAAACATAAGTGGGCAGTTCGAGTTGTGTTAGGTTTAAAATGTCACATCACAATCCATGTCCATGCAGATAATTTACAGCAGCCAAGTACTGGAAACTACAGATTGAGTTGAAACGTGTTTTTTTTTTCAGGGAGAGATATATCAAATGAGGTATTTACAGCATCAAATAATTCTTAAATTACCTTCCCCTGCATTATACCACAATGATGCAAAAGATACAGATACAAACATCCGAAATCACAGATTATCTTCATCTACTCCTTAATTTTGCAGTTTACCATCTGCAAAATTGAGCTCAGCTAGCAAATCTCAGTGCCACCCAAGCGGCAACCTTCTGGTCTCTCTCGTGAAACCAACACGGAAGTGACTAAAATGGCAATTCATCGACTGGCCGCTAGAGGCTGGCTCCAAAAGGGATTCAGTCCCATAGAACTCCCACATTAAAATGCCCAACTTTACAGCAGAAAAAAATATGTTTACAGCCTGGTACAAAAAGTGGTTTTGGTCTATATAGCTAATTTTGCCCTTCATGACAACTGTGAGGGGGGGTGAAATTTTTTTTTTACAGCTCATCCATATAAATTATATTAAGCCTTAAAGTTCTGCATAATTAAGGGCGTGGCCACTTGAGTGACAGGTGGATTGCCGCTGCTGTCACCACCGTCAAGCTAGGTGGGCATGGTTTCAGCAACCATTTCCCGCCTCTTTGCCCATTTTCGATTATCCGGGAGTGACGCACGGTGACACGCTGCCAAGATGGCGACTGCCGGCTCCGCCCACTTTGAGCTTCAAAAATGCTCTTCAGAAACCTACGGGTGATGTCACGGACACTACGTCCATGTTTTTATACAGTCTATGGTGCCACCGTGAGCATCAGATCTGTGAGAAAACAGCCTCAGCTGATGATGCACAATATATATGACAAAAACAACAGTCGTGTACTCTAGTTTTAGACTGATAAATTTGGGAAGTGGGTGTGAATCATGACTAAAATGCTAAAATTAAGGGTTTGAATATGCAACACCTTTAAATTTTGTGTCACGGCTCTGGGTGTAATATGGTATTTTAAGACTCATAATAGTGTAATTTTAATGCCCCTTTGCAAAAGAAAGTATCATTGGGCAGGATATTTCTCTACAGTTGTAAAATTGAGCTTACAATTGAAACAACTGAGAGTTAATAAGTAATCAGAGTGTAATAAGTAATACGTTTTTTTCAGAGTTCAGTGCTTAACAATGTGACAACCATTCCTGGAACAAATTTTCCAGAGTGATAATTTGGCAGTGCAGCTGTTACGACAGTGACCACTGGCCATTGCTTTGAGACCACAGTGGTACAAATCTTCTGACTGGAAGTACCAAAGAATTCACCCCTCAGCTCACACTTGGGCTGTATGATTTTAGGGAAACATTTAATTTGTGATTTTATTTTGGCAGTGGGAGGGAGCCATTATAAGTGCCCCTTTTATGCCATTTATAAGGCTCCTAATATTGTTTTGCATGCATGCAAGGTCAAAAAATACTTGTGTTTTCTTAAAATAAGCATTTAATATCACCTCATTTCCAACAATTCATTTGAAGCAGTTCTAAGATTCAGTCTCTCTAAACCCCTCCTTTCTGTGAGCCTACTCTGCTCTGATTGGTCAGATGGCCCAGTCTGTTGTGACTGGTCTACGGTGTACAGCGCGTGTCGGAAACCATATGCCCACTGCCATAGTTCCGTAGTCTGAACGCTCGATAGAAAATATAAACATCTATTATTTATCATACTTACAGGTTGTGATTCAGTGGAGCCAGCTGGTCCAAATAAACTGGGTACTGAGCCATCTTTCAAGAGCAAGTGTTTTGTGAATCCTACAAGAATGTAACGAGCTGCTCGCGTGTCACAGCAGAGCGCCACATTTCACACAGGCCATTTGGGACATGCCAGTTGCAATTGTCTAGTTAATTTTCAATGGGAAATATGCAGAAAGTGGCAAAATGTGACACAAGTGGTGCTCGTGCACTCAAAATTCTGCCTCTGTCGTGGGCATGGCTCTTGAAACACACAGCGCATGTATTTATTTAATCAAATCACAGCCTTTGCGATTTGATAATCATGCTAAGCCATATCACAATTGCAGGTTTTATTTCAATTAATCGTGCATTCCCTAGCTCACACACTCACATCCAATACCGTCATGGAGTCATGTTCAATCAGTCATCCAATTGTCTGTTTATCTTCACCCATGATTGCTTCAGGAGCATTACTCCGCCTTCACAGAGTGGACCAGACCTATTTTGGTCTTCAGCTACTATATAAGTCTAGGTTATGGATAGGCTATGAATAAACCTGCTTTGTTTTGAATATGTAAATGAAAGTCTATGATTGTCAAAATGCTGTTTCCATGTGGCAGTCAATCCAATAGGCCATTCAGAGGCACTGTGAAACTGCAAATTAAGCAACCTAATCAGACATACCAACCAAGGATCTAAGCACTAGCTAGTGTGTTTTTACAAGCTAGTGAGGACTCTTTAAACGACAACCTCTTCCTCTCAGGCAGAAGTTCTTCGGCAGCTCCGCGGATGTCATCTAGCTCTGTGGTATAGTGGTCTGGGCTTTCTCCATTGGAGATCTCCTTGATGACGCTGTATGTGAGGGCCACGCTATATGTGGGGGGCTTCTCGGAGCGCTGGGGCCCACAATGCCACAATTTGTGGAAGGCAGCGCGGAACTTCTGAGACATGGCATTGTAGATGATTGGGTTGATGGCGCTGTTCATGTAGATGCAGAGACGGCAGAAAAGAAGGAACCAGGTGTCCAGATAGGCGTCTTTGAGGAAGGAGTTGACCACCACCAGCGTCCGATAGGGCATCCACAGAATAGCGAAGAGGGTCACCACCACTGCCAGCATCTTTGTCACCTACAGAAGAGAGGATGACAGAAGTGTTCAGTTATGTATGTAACTCTGATGCCTCATAATTACCTACATTTTTGTTTTTATAGAAATCCTCTTCAAGCTCATTTTAATAGATCTATATGATATAATGTAATATTTATATATAACTATATTATATAATATTATTATATAATTCCGAGCCTCAACAATGTTTAAAGGGGTCCTATTATGCTTTTTCACTTTTTTAATTTTAGTCAGTGTGTAGTGTGTATGTTTGGGCATAAATTGTAAAAGAGCATAATAGGACCCCTTTAAGTGAAATATGGGCAAGATTTACATTTATTGTTTACCATTAATACTCAGTTTTACATATATACACTGCTTTGTGAATGTGTGTGACTATGGGACTAGCAGGATATTTACTGATTTCTTATTATAGATGTGACAACATGCTCATTTTAATTTGTCACTATTCTTGGCCTTTTGCAACAGTATAAACATGATTGTCACGGTACAGCTGTTGTATTGTTTGCCAGATTGTTCCCAGATGTATTAACACCATACATGTCACGGATCATTTATTGCAGAGATCTGCTACATAGCTGTAAGACTGATTTTATAAAGGTCATGAGAGGTGTGTTTTCTCACCATGTTTGGACAAGTCAAAGAGCCCTAGGGCAACACAACAACAACAAGTACAGTCGTTCCGAGATTCTCAGATGTGGTCTGGCTTCACTATGCATTTGGACTCTGACCTGCTCGAGGCTATGTGAACATCACAACACATCACATTTCTCAAATAATCGGCAAACGCCCGTGTTCTGGTTCTGGATCACAAATGTTTCCTGGAATTCAATTCACCGCAACCGTCCGATTCCCAAACGAATGACTCTTATGCGCCGGCTCTTTAATGTAAATCAATGTGTTCCGATTCTCGAACGAGTGACTCGGTTCTAATGAGTCGGTTCTTTAAAAACACAGAGCGCGACCAGTGCACTTCTATTCCCAAATGAATCTGATGAGTCTGACTTTTAGGGAATCAAAACATAGCGATAAGAATCTCGAACGAATAACTCTTTATATGGTTCTTTTTAAGTGAATTGCGAGTTCGTGAGACTTAAATCACTGTCTGACTGTTTGCTGATATTGTGAAATTAAATATGATTAATTTTGTTGTAATCAGCGTATAAATTGAATGAATTTAAATGTTACCACGATATTGTTTTATTGGTATTTTATTCAATTAGAAATTATTGAAGTGCATGAATGCCGCTTCTAAAACGTTTTAAAAAGTAATTAAAAGTATTTGTATAGCATTTTTGCAAGAATTGTATTATGCTTATTTTTGATTGTTGTTTTGATTTTCAACAGATTGTCCGAGGGAACTAAATGCAATAAGAATTCTATCTATCTATCTATCTATCTATCTATCTATCTATCTATCTATCTATCCATTCATTCCAATATTGTTTTCTTAGAAATAATAAAAGGATCGTAAATGGAGCAGTCAAGAAATCGAAACGAGAATCAACGATTCCCTATGCGCACAATTACGCACAGAAGAAAACTCACTTCTGAGTAAAATAAACCAAATAAAATCAGCATTTTACCTGTCTCCGAGAAGCAGCAGTTGCGTTGCTGGAGGAACTTCTGGAGTTCCCATGCAAGGACGACTCCTTCTTCCAATTTCTTCGACTTCCTTTGGGAGCCGACGGGAGTGGGTTGAGGAAAAGAATCCTTGCTATCAATCCGTATAAAACAGTGGCCAGCAAAAGCGGGATAACATAAAACACGGCAAAATCTGTGAAATATATTGGCAAATACAGGTTTCTAGATACTTTGTAGGCGCATGTCACAAGGACAGCGTTCTCATAAACGATCTCTTCCGTGTCGGAAAGATAAAACCACATAACGCAATAGAGGGACGTTAAAACCCAAACGACAACAATGATCTTTTTGGCTCTGGAGAGGGTGCACATAAACTGCGCTTTTATCGGGTGGCAAATGGCAATATAGCGTTCAATGGTGAAGGCTGTGATAGAACAGGAAGATGCGTTGATGCCCAGGTACTGAAAATAAGTGATGGAGAGGCATCCGGCATATCCGTACACCCAGTGGCCGCCGAACAGACTCTCGGTGATGTTGGGCAGCCCGGCTGCAGTCAGGACCATGAGGTCGGCAACGGCCAGACTCACCAAATAGCAGTTAGTTGGGGTACGCATGTGCTTGGTCGTTAAGACCACAAAAATGACCATAACATTGCCAACAATTCCAACTCCACAAATAAGAATCACTAATAAGATGCTAGCGACCTTGTATTCTATACTGTAGTCAGTCCATATCGTTGCCTGAGTCCCGTTGTTAAGTTTCAATAAAGTGCTGTTCTCCATGCTCCACTTGGTTTTGTTTCCTTGTTTGCGCAAGAAAAAGGATCACTTTTCAGCTCTCCAGGATGCGCGCAAAAAAGACATGTTTCAACATTCAAAAGAGAGAAAAATCATTAAAGTTAAAATCTGTGCAGTTTTGTATGTCCTCCTGGAATAAAACACCGTTCACAGCAGACTTTAGATCTCAGAGATGGAAACGAATGCGTTTGCGTTTGATGCAAAGCCAAGAATGTGTCCGTGGTAATTTGTGTGATATATAAAAATCCCGTCCCTGGTGTGCATAACTGCAGAGAGCTGACAGAGTTGTTGCACCGCCCAGGGCTGAACAGGCTGATATGGTTTCTCAAAGACCCCTGTAACCCCAATATGAGACCGAGAGCGTCAGTAAGGGCATTGTGCGGTGCGTAATGCTGCAGCATGCAGCAAGCAAGGGAGGAAGTGTCTCAAAAACACGTTCTGTTCAATTATAGGTTTCTCGACTAAACTGCCAAAAAATTTAAATAAATAAATAAAAACACACACAACTATAGGCCCATTTCACATTCTAATTACAGTGCTCCTCTGTAATATGGTGTTTGTTTAAAAGTCAGTTTGCTTTGGGTATATCAGAACTAATAGAGCTTGCTTTTTTTAGGTTGTTTGTTTCAAGGGTTGTGATAAGGTTACAGATTGATTCAAGTCCAGGAAGACTGGCCAAGTTTGCTTTCACTCACAGAATGCAGGAGGTTTACACCCGGAGGAGAGCTATTATTGACACTTAACAGAGTCTATTGAGGATGCACAGGTCTATGATGCGAGAAAAATCGCTGTGATTAATCTATGAGTTTTGTACCTTGAGCTATGATATATAACATGTTACAATTGTTATTTTACATTGTATTTGTACAAACAGGTCAAATGAAATTAGAATTTTGAGGAAGTGGATAAAAAGCTACAGTTTTATCTGTAAAAACCCTTTAGCTTTGGAGCATTAATGTCTGTTCACACCAAGATAATAATGGTAACAACAAAGATCACACGAATGCAGGAAGTTCTGGCTATTATAAGCGCGCTTCTTTAATAGATTCTAATTGGCTGTCAATGTTTTTATCGTTCATCAGCTGGAAAAAAAAATCACATTACAACGTTTTAGTTCCTCTGTGCTGTAATAGTTATAGTTGTGGTTGGACTCTGCTGGTCGTTTAAATGTAGAAAGATTTTTAAAACTGTATCTTTTATGGTTATAGTTATCGTCCTTGGTATGAACAGGCCTTTATTGTTTTATTGTTTGTTTGGAGTGAGATTTTTCAGGTTGGTTCATCTTTGCTCGTTCTTAATGTGTTGCTAAATGTGTTCTTTGTCAGAAGCACGGCAGTGTCAATCATGTCACAAAAATAATTAATACATATTTTTTGACAGTTTTTGTACTCTCTGAAGACTTGACACAGATTGCTTTTATATTCTTGAGAAAAGTTAACCATCACTTTAAAGCTGTCAAATCTTCTGGATTTATCAGGATGTTTCTTTCTTATTTATTTTTTTCATAGACTAGTCAACATATTGCATCCTGAAGGTCTGGGGTGGGGTTAAGAATTGTGTTATAATAACCCCTACAAATACAAGTCATTATATACACTATAAAAGACAGACATGTAGATGTTTGTGAAAGATGTTTTCTCTGTTTTGGAGGGATGAGCACTTTTAAAGGGGTCATATGATGCGATTTCAAGTTTTCCTTTCTCTTTGGAGTGTTACAAGCTAATTGTGCATAGATAAGATCCCTGAAGTTGCAAAGTGATCTTTAAAAAAGCATCATATGACCCCTTTAAATTATTTATTTTATCACAGTGTGTTAATACTTTACTATATAGGTTAGGGGTGGATAATTGTATCAGTTTATTCATGCAAGAATACATATTACTGTTATAGTTTTCATTAATAACCATTGCTATATAGATGATAACTTTGCCTAGTGCTCTTATGAATGTTTTTAGCATGACTTTATGAAAATGTAACTCCTATAGCTACTAATGAAATAGCATAGACTTCTTCATGGCTAGTGTTTGCACATTTCATTTCATTTCTACAGATCTGTGTACTAGTGTTAAATGCTACTGTTTTTATTGCGTTTATAACGTTTCTGGCAGATAATATCATGATGTTTTCTGCGTTCGCCTTACCGAATGTGGTATCCTGTCTGCAATAACCTGTCCGTGGGCTTTTTTGATTACTGTCAGTTTAAGAGTCATTCTATATTTAGGGGTAGATTTCATGTCAGCCAAAAAGTCAGAAATTCAGTACTATTTTTTGATAAATAAATTAGGTGGTTGAATAATATAATATAATATCCCCTTAATGTGCTAAATTAATTGTTTGGCAAGCTTAAGCTCTAATGACTTTTTAAATATGTTAATGAAAATTAACATTTGATTCATTATTTTGTCAACTGTGTTACGGACAAATGTTGTGTCAAATGAAACATGAATGAAGTCCCACATGTTTGATTACACATTTGTTTGAAGGTTTTTGAGTCTATTCACCAGAGTGTTTTGAGGTTATCTGTCTGATTTGAAAATATGAATTTGGGGCTTCATAATGGGCGTACTGTGGGATGCTATCATGAAGGATGATACTTTTCTTTAACATAAATCCACAGTATGCTGAATTTAGTGTTATTCACCATCCTTACCAAAGTCATCCATCTCCAGAGATATCCCCATCTTTTTTTCTGATGGATTAGTTCACATTTAAACGATTTATAACATAAAAACCACACATAACACAGTTGACAAAGTAACACAGTTGACAGGTAAGAATGAACTTAGTATCCATAAAGCATTTTAAACGCACTCACATTATAATAATATATATTATAACGTTAATGAATATATTATATAGATGATCACTTTGTCTGGTACTCTTATGAATGTTTTTAGCATGACTTTGTGAAAATTTAACTAGGCCTACTACACTTAATGAAACAGCACAGTCTTCTTCATGGCTAGTGTTTCACCTTGCATATTTCATTTCATTCTGTAACCTAGCCTACTTGTTCTACAGATCTGTGTACTAGTGTTAAATGCTATTGTTTTTGATAGCTTTAACGTTTCTGACAGATAATTTCATGTTGTTGTTTTTTTGCGTTTGCCTTATCGAATGTGGTATCCTGTCAGCAATAACCTGTCCGTGGGCTTTTTTGATTACTGTCAGTTTAAGAGTCATTCTATATTTAGGGGTAGATTTCATGTCAGCCAAAAAGTCAGAAATTCAGTACTATTTTTTGATAAATAAATTAGGTGGTTGAATAATATAATATAATATCCCCTTAATGTGCTAAATTAATTGTTTGGCAAGCTTAAGCTCTAATGACTTTTTAAATATGTTAATGAAAATTAACATTTGATTCATTATTTTGTCAACTGTGTTACGGACAAATGTTGTGTCAAATGAAACATGAATGAAGTCCCACATGTTTGATTACACATTTGTTTGAAGGTTTTTGAGTCTATTCACCAGAGTATTTGAGGTTAAATGTCTAACTGATTTGAAAATATGAATTTGGGGCTTCATAATGGGTGTACTGTGGGATGCTATCATGAAGGATGATACTTTTCTTTAACATAAATCCACAGTATGCTGAATTTAGTGTTATTCACCATCCTTACCAAAGTCATCCATCTCCAGAGATATCCCCATCTTTTTTTCTGATGGATTAGTTCACATTTAAACGATTTATAACATAAAAACCACACATAACACAGTTGACAAAGTAACACAGTTGACAAAGGTACACAGTTGACAGGTAAGAATGAACTTAGTATCCATAAAGCATTTTAAACACACACACACATTATAATAATATATATTATAACGTTAATGAATATATTATTATAAAGGTAAATTAAGTTTTATAATGCATCATGACACTTCAAGTTGTAAGGACTTATACAATAACATCATAACACTTTATCAGTCATGACTAAGCAGAAATAGATATATGCCAAATCTATAATATTATATAGGTTTATGTCAATCATGAGGAATTCTGAATGCTTTTTAACCCTTGACAAATGTGAATATAATGTGTATATAATATTATGGATATGGAGTTCATAGAAAGTGTGGCCGTAATTAGATCAGTTAAGTTTATTCATTGTTTTCCATGGTTTTAGGCAATTCCTATGTAATTTCTGTGAAATGACAATAGTTTGTGAATATATATTTTTATCAACAACACTCAGTGGGAGCATAAATTGACACTGAATTGCTAACATTGTCAACCGTGTTAATCCTTGTCAACTGTGTTACAGTTGATCGGTAACACAGTTGACAGGTAACACAGTTGACATTTCAGCCGTTTTAGGGCCTTGTGCAAACTGCTGACCTTGGAATAGTTAGTACATGACCTTGATTAACTTTTGTTTTTATATTCTTTCTCTACATATTTATAAATATAACATGTGACGCAAGTTCACCAGAACATGTTGATAACACAGTTGACGGTCAATTAATCTACTCTATGTGCAGACAATAATCTAGATAAAATATTGAAGAAGAGAAGTTATGACTTTCCACACTGTCTTCAAATTTCCCTCCAAAAAAGGAAAATACATCAGGTGATGTTGGACATGTGACTTTGGAACAAACCATTGCTGATTTATAGGGGGTTTTATAGGGAGTAACACAGTTGACACTGATTTCTCGGACATACACAAAATGGATGATTTAATGTAAATGCATGGGGAAAATATTTGTTAAAACACCTTTCTCATAATTGAATGATTATTTTGGACAAATATTTATAAGAAATATGTATTTTAGAGCTAATCTGAAGAGCAAAACCTCACATTTACCAAATCGGACAGCACAAAAACAGCAAATTCCAGTATAGAATATGCCATTTTTGCAAGATAAAAGATGGATATCTGTTGGATTTTTGTATTAAATGAATTAGAAATGTCCCCTGATATAAAAGTGCTCATTGTTTGAAATGAAAAGTTATTGAAAAATTAGTAAAATTGATAATAGAGTCCATGG